CCTAAGCTGCTTTTGGTTCAACAAAGAGCCTTAAAGTCGTCACCAATTGTCAGGCACTGGATCCACCTCTGGAGATCTGCAGATGAGTGCATCAGGCTCACTACTCTCAAAAATCTTACTAGTCTAGTAAGGAAAACAATAAGACATAATTTCCCTTCGATGTAATAAGGACTGGTGCAATACCTAAAATTTATTGAGCCTCTCCTGTGTTTTTAGGTCCTTTGCAAAAGACCTTTTTTGCATAGTATCATGCAATCTTCACATTCTAATGAGTTAATTATCATTTTAAACTTCTTTTTGGAGATAAGAAGACAGTTTCTTAGAAAGATTAAGGTAATTTTCAAAAGTGGAAGAGACAGGATTTGAGTCCTATGCATGTATCTCCAAACGCCAGTTTTAGCCACCAGACCAGAGTGCTAGGCTAGAGGGATGAGCAGTCCACTAATGCAAGCAGTCCACTAACACATCATCCTCGAGGTTGGACTCTCTAGAATATATTAAGGAAGAACATAACTGAGTTTCAGTTATATTGAGTATAGGCTGCTTATTTATTTTATTATTATTTATTATTATTATTATTATTTATTATAAGAGAATATATTCAGTTATAAAGAGTATAGGCTGCTTACAATAAAAATAGAAATTCATAGACACAGGCAAAGGATTTAGTAAAATCTCAGAACTTTGAAATAGTATGGTGTTTTTTAGGAATTGCAATAATTTTTTTGTTACTGAAGTGTTCTTTGTGAAAGAGTAGGTGGTGATAAAGAGAAAAAGAAGCAGGGCCACACGCAGTCCCTGTAAGCTGTGCTATAGAATTTATCTTTGCCCAAAAGATGATGAGAGATCAGGGAAGTGGTATAAACTAGGGAATGACGTGGTCAGACTTTCCTTTTAAATATGTCATCCCTTAGGGGCAGAGAGTCAAAAAGGGCTCAGAGTAGTTTAAGTAATAGACAATTAAGGTCCTAAACTTGGGCCATGTTAGTAAGGATGATGGGTATAGAGGAAATGCAAGAAATATTAAAGATGTAAAATTAGCAGGACTTTGTGACTCGTTGGACATAGGGAAATGCTATCTACCAGTCTCAAATTTCCTGCTTGGGTGATATAGACATGTTCATGGTGATGTCATTTATTGAGGTATGAATATACAAGGTAATTATATGATCATTGTTATTGAGAGACCAAATTCGACAACAAGTAAATATACAACATAGCCTGCTTGGGAAATGCTAAATCCAATACAGAAAGATCAAATATATTTGTTAATTCCCATTCATCCATAATCCAAATTTTAAAATATTTTGTACCTATAAAGTTTCAGGAAATGAGGGCTCAGTGTGATAAATGCTCTGGTTTTAGTAACCATGCAATTCCAAGAGCCTCCATCATGAGCTTTGTACCTCACTTTTGATATGTAGCAAGTTATATTTTGATTTAGTCAATGTTATTTGTAAAACATTATCTATTTTTCCTACTGGGTATTGAATTTCTTAAGATCAATGACTATGTTGCTAATTTCTTTTTGTCTAGCAAGGATTTTAACTTTTGGAATAGACCTATTTCCAAGTAATTTTTCCTTTGGATTGTTTTAAATGGGAGTATCATCCTGATGAATCATTAAGCTTTTTTTTAATGGATTATTGAATTTTCTTGAATATTCAGTTTTGTTGTGTATTTTGGGTTAAAAAAACACTTGATTTTTTAGAATTATCATCAATAGCTCAGTTACTTTGCAATCATCAGCCAGCTTATGATTTTAGAAAAAAAAAAATCAACTAGTGTCCTTAAGACCATCTATTCCATCAGCCTTATTCGTTATCAGTTAATCTTATTCCTGTTGGAACTCTAGAAACTGATGTCAATAAGTGAGGAAATCCTGCTGGGTAGAGTGGAGGCCTTGGGCTTATAGCAACCACAGAAAATAATTATCCTTATTTCTTTCCATAAATGGACAGAGTCAGGGAATTTAAATAGTATATGCTAGATCAATAAGTGGCAAAACAGAAAATAAAGCAGTGATCTTTAATCAATTATCCATTAAGACTTTCACTTTTTTTTTTCATTTCTTCTATCAACTGTAGGAGATAAATGGGACAAATGCCATTATTTTCTCTTTAACAATTAGAAAATTGCAGCTTAGAGGGCATCAGTACTCCAATATTGTTTCTGACATGTCAATATAGTATTCTTTTGTTCTGGAGAAATCACCTTCTAGTGGAGAAGAAATTTTTCAGTGCTTGTGCTCAACTACAATAATCGTTTCCTATTGTTCCTCTAACCAATCAGATGAGATTGCAGCATTAATTATACCCAGTTTGAACTATTCGTATACTCCTTTACAAATAAACACAACATAGGAAATGTTAAGTCACTGGCATTTCTTTTTGACATCTTTTTTCTTCCTCTGTGTTATACCTGAGGATCCTAGAGCCCACTTCTAAGCACTGGAAAAGGGTTTATTTTTCCAACCATAGATTTCATTCTCATTTTGCAATATCATGGATTGAACTGAGTACTACAATGTGTAAAAAAATCTCAAGTGACAAAAAAAATCTAGGGAGTAAAATCAGCATGTTCATAAAGAAAAATGCACACACTCAATGTACTCAATGTACTCGATATACTAATGCATGAGGTAAACATAGATGCTCAGGAAGCAGGAAGCAGTGATCTATTGACTTTGCCTGGAAGATAAATGTCTTGTTGGAGACAAATGTCGGTTATGTTATTTGAATGCTGACTTTGAATTCAGAATTTTGGCTGGCTTGGGTTAGGGAAGACTTGGTTTCAAGATATTAATCAGAAGAGGCAATGTGGAAACTATGTACCATTTACTGTCTCACATAATTCTCAGTTAACAAGCCAATCACACAGCCAGTCAGTTTAACGATGGAATGGCTGTGAGCCAACAGAAGAGAAGTTATACCCTACCTTGTTCCAGGACATTAGTCACTTTACTACTTTGCCTGCTGTTTACTCCTAAATATTACTTGAAAGTGAGCCTTTGTTTGGGTATGTTCTTTAACGAAACAGTTTAAGGTGATGGGAGTCACTTCATGCCATTTCTGAAACAGTACACATCCTGCTCAGTACTCTCTGAAGAGATGGGGGGAAAAAAAGAGAGACTAATGTTGTCCTCAGATATTCGGTGTTGGAACTAGGCATTTTTTGCTTTTTAGGGTCCTGGACCATTTAAGAACAGCTTATGTTTTATTGGCATAACAGTGCATCATTCCTATCAGTGCTTAGACATATCACTTGTGTGCAAATCATGTTTTCATCAATATATTTACAATTTCATACTATTTATGGTGTAGGTGGGTAAATGCCAGGCAGCTATCAGAGAATAGGTGGGCTAAACAGCTCTGGTTTATCTTTAAGTGAAACAACTTTCATAAACAACTCATTATATTTTAGTAAATTAGCCTGGTGCACTGATCAACAATGATTAAAAGTTTAAGTTTAGGGGCACCTGGGTGGCTAAGTTGGTTAGGCATCTGCCTTCCACACTGTCATGATCCCAGGGTCCTGGGATAGAGCCCCATGTCAGGCTCCCAGCTCAGTGAGGAGTCTGCTTCTCCTTTTTCCTCTGTTTACTGCTCTCCCTATTTGCGCTCTTTCTCTCTCTCTCTGTCAAATAAAAAAATAAAATCTTCTAAAAATTAAATTTAAAAAGATATTTATTTACAGATTGTTTCTTTTGCCCACGATAAATACTAATAATTAATATGCAACTTATAACTTACACATCTCAAGAGGAGGAGTGTGAAGGTTAACAGATGATTCCGTAAGCTAAGTGATGAGCTGGAATTAGCAGGAGCAAATGGGTGAGATTACATGGATTTGGATTCTCATACTTTCAGTTACTTGCTGTAAGTATACTTTTAAAGTCTTGTCGATCCTTGTTTGTAGAAGGGGTTAATGGCTAAAATCCCAAGTCATTAGGCTTTGTGGGATTTAATAAGATAAGGTATATATAATATGTGCACATGGGAGATATTCAATTTGTAACATTAAGGAATCTTAAAAGTAGTGACAAAATTAAAATATGCTATTGAGACTATAATGCTAAGTGAAATCAGTCAATGAGAGAAAGACAAATACCATATGATCTCACTCATATGTGGAATTTAAGAAACAGAATAAACAAGCAAAAGGAAAAAAGGAGACAAACAAAGAAACATACTCTTAATTCTAGAAAACAAACTGATGGTTATCAGAAGGGAGGTAAGTGGGGAGAATGGGGGAAGTAGGGAGGATGGGGATTAGAGTACACTTACCATGATGAAAAAATTAAATTAAATTTTAAAAAGATAAAAAAACTTAAATATAAAATAAAATGAAATAAAATATGTTATGGAGAAAATAAATGTATCTATTTATTTATTCACCCCACAACTCTGGAAGAAGGCATGAGCAGATTGGGATAGGGTTGATCAGTGTCTTTTTAATTTAAAAAAAAATTTTTTTTTAACAATAGTATCTACTGGTGATGAAGTTTCAGGAAAACAGAAACTTGTGCACTGCTTGCAGGAAGGTATATGGTACAAATATTTTGAAGATAAATTAAGTAATAAGTATTCAAAAAGCTAAAAATTTAGAAGCATCACCTATATCATTTGGATTCCCATTAGATGACAACAATATCCACTCTAGCTAACTTGAGCCAAAGAAGATTCATTAAAGAGTATGCATTTACAGAATCTTTGAAGGATTGAGGAATGGAGTTTACATACCATAAATCTTGATACCACCAAGCTGGAAAACGTACTCAACATCACATGAAAAACTACTGCTGGGACTGCATATCACATAGGAACCAGGATTCTGGGGACCTATAACCAACATCTCTGCTGCAAAAGCTCCAGAAGAACTAAGCACTACTACCTCTGTGCCTGAAGGAGGACAAAACTCCTTGTCGTGGCCTTGAACACTGGAGCCTAGTAAATGCAGTTTTTCAAGTACCATAGTGCAGAAGGGAATCTAGAAGGGAGTCAGAGTCCGTATGTAACGAGCCAATCTGCAGTATCTTCCTCTTTATAATTCTCTTTTGTATCCTGAAGGAGAAAAAATAAAGGACTTATACAAAAGTACAAGTAAAGATATTTATTATAACGTGGCAAAAAGTTTCAAAATAATATAAACAAACAACAGTAAGTATGATTAAATAAGTTATAGTTCAACAGTAAGTATGATTAAATAAGTTATAGTTCACTTATATTTCATCATGACTTACGGCATAAAAGGATGTAATATTTGGCCAATTGATAGGCTGTCAGTGAAGGTCATTTAATGGCATCTGTACGTAGTCTATGTGTATTAATGCAAATGGCTTTGGCTGCTTTTGTAAAAAAAAAAAAAAAAGTACCAAAAGTAGCAAAACTAGTTTAAAATTTTTAAAAAGTATGAGTGAGAGAATGTTGGAATCCACAGCTCCCTCTGCAAAGGGAGGGAGTGAGGGCAGAACCCTATGGTCCCTGCAGAGGGATAGATGAGATGGTGACTAGCTGACCTGCCACATGACAGTGGCTGTATCAATGATCACATCTGATCACATCACAATCTATGATGTAGGCATTATTATTATCTCTATTTTGAGGAGGGGGCACTGAGCAACAGAGAAGTTCAGAACTTTGCCCAAAGACAGCTAGTTCGATAGGGGAGGGGCATTTGATCTTGGCCAAAGCCCTTGCTTAACCACTGTACTATACCGTTGCTCCTATAGAAGGAAGAGTATCCTCGGCAGAAGTCATATGTACAAAAGCCAGAGCTGAAATAGCACTGTGTTTTTGGAGAAGCAGAAATAACTCAGCATGGCTGGAACGAAGGTTGTATCTGGGAGTGGTTGGATAGAGGGACCAATGGAAGCATCAGGAAGCAGACAAAAGGCATGAATGCAAAGGATGAAATGGAGAAATGTAAGACAGTAAGTCAGGTAATCAGTGGGAGAAGACCACAGTAATCAAGGTATTAGCATGCCAGCAGACTGATTTAAGCAAATTGTAAGTATAGAGAGGCAGGTAGTGCTGAGTAAGAGAGCAGTCAGAAAGGGGGACCAGAGTTTGGAAGTTCGTTGGATATGGTGAATGAAGAACAACACTAGAATGACTTTCTGATTTACAACCAAGGCCAAGTTGGTAGTTGCTAATGACATAAGTCAGAAACCAGGCAAGAGTTGCTTACTCAGAAATTAGAATACTTCAGTCTGCTATTTTTGACAGTTTCATGTGTATCTTTTAGCTATGCCTATGCCTGGTGAACCATTGTGAAAGCAGTAATTGTTCATCAGAAATTTATTCAAGGCAGGTAGGCCTCTCTCCTTCAGCCTTCATGTAACTATAGAGCAATGGTGTCCCATGTTCAGGCAAGAAATGATCTCTCTTCCTCCATCCCCAGTACTCATAAAGTCACTGAAGGAATCCAGTTTCATGGATTTCCTTTCCAGCCTCTGGGTCAGAAATTCCAGCAAGCTGCTTTGAAACATTTGCCCCCCCCCTTTTTTTTTTCTAAGACATTCAAATTGTTTCATAGACATTATCTCACCAATAGCCATTTCATCCTGGTGAGGTAGGCCAAGGAACAATTTATTCCTATCTTTAAAGGGTAAAGAGAGGTTAAATGACTCATCTGGGGAGCTGGAAATAGCTCAGTCTCCAGAACCAGCTCTGTGTGTACGAGGGACTGCCAAATGACTTCATAAATGGGTGTGAGTTAAAGGTTTTGATATTTCACAAGACTCGAGTTGTCGGAGTCATCATTTACTGGTAAATAAAGAGCTCAGAAATGGAAGAGGAATTGAAGGTTGTTTTTGAAGATAGATACGTTTTTCTATTTCCGTGTCAGGTTTCCTCTCACCCAAAGATTCTGTAAACAAGAATCATAAGGGATTTTTAGTATCAATGTACTATCCACAGAACACGGAGGAAAATGTTCACTGTGTTTAAAGTACTTTTATATTATGTATCACCCATACTGCTACTAGTCATCATTATATGAGGATGGAGTAGTGCCAATGATATATAATATCTACTCATTTTCTATAATCCAGATTCTTCTGCCATTCAAAAACATTGTAAGAACTGGTTCTCGTCCTGTATTTTTTTATTATGCCTTTTATTATACCTTGGTAAAATCTTGGATGCAAAACTGTAGCCCCACAGTCCTTCATTTTGGGGAAAGAGAGCAAATGGTCACTTTCTCTTCCTGAAATTATATATATATATATATATGTATATATATATATATTTTTTTTTAATCTGGTTTTCAGAATTCCTCAGTCACTTGATTTTTCTTTGAATACTTGTCTGGTCATTCTGTGCCAAGTGTTCAATCTCATACACTCTCTCTCTTCTGTGTGTGCTCAGTGCCTCCATTTCTTTTTTACACTGTGCATACCTCTTATTTATTTATATTATTTATTTTCCATTTCCTCACTGAAATGTAGATTTTATGAGGGTAAAGAAATCGTCTCTTCTGTACTATGCCCTATGCATAGTGTAGCATATGGTCATGACTCAATAAATATTCACTAAATGAATGAAGAAAAACTGATTTTATGATTACTAGAATAGCCTAAAATTTTACAGTACACATTGATCATAATTTCAGCCAGCTTATCATGAAAAGTATCTGCTACCTGTTACAAACCTATCAGAAGTCTCGTGTCTATTTTATCTATTAAATGGAACCATATAAAATTACTGATAATTGACTCATTTTGAGCTATGAAAACATTAATTTCACATGGCTCAACCTAAGTGTAAAATGAAATTGGGGGAAAAAAGGCACAGCAATCTAGATGAATATACTATGAGTTAAATTGTTCAGTTTTTTTCCTAAATGATTATCGTTTTCACCTATGATTTCCTGAGGTTTACAAATATAATTCTCCAAGTATAAAATCTGCAAACCAAATGGATACCTGGGTCTCTTCCCCCCCTCCCCCAAGATTTTATTTGTTTATTTGTTTGTTTGTTTGTTTGAGAGAAAGAGAGAGCACAAGCAGCGGGGGGGGGGGGGGGGGGGTGGCAGGCAGAGGAAGATGCAGGCTGAGCAGGGAGCCAGATGTGGGACTTGATCCCAGGACCCTGATGCTTAAGGCAGACCTTTAAATGGCTGCGCTGCTGAGGTGGGTCTCTTAATGACCCTGTTTGCCTTCAGTTTGGTGGTCACTGTGGACCCTTTCATATTGCTCAAGCTTCCTTTGCTCAGGCCTTTTGCCTGAAAGGGACCTCCACAGAAGGGAATGATAAGGATGTACTTAACAGGAAATCGCTGTCACAAGTTCTGATTCCCACTGCCTTAGCTTTTGCCAGACAAATCTATTTTGAGGCAAATACATCTTCCTACATTTCTGCACTTTGAGTTCTTGTGTTCTTATGAACATGTTACTACTTAGATAGACCTAATTTTTCTCATTGATAAAATACAGGCAATGGGACTAGATCATAAAACAATGAAGTATTACTAAAAAAGTCTAGTCTTACAAGATGTTTGGGAGATGAAAGGAGTATTTGTTAAATCTTTTGGGAAACACTTATAATATGCCCCTATCCGGAAACTACACAATATATATTTACATTCACATACAAATACAATTGAGAACACCTGGAGTCACTTGGGTGGCCGAGTTGCTTCAGTGCCCCATTCGATTTCAACTAAGGTCATGATCCCAGGCTCTTGGGATGGAGCACCCCCACCCTAGGCTCTGTGCTTAGCAAGCAGTTGGCTTGAAGATTCTCACTCTCCTCTCATTTTGCCCCTCCTCTGCCTCAAACAAACAAATAAATAAACAAATAAATCTTAAAAAAAAAAAACCAAAAACTAAGAAAACCTTCAGTGAAAAAAAAACAAAAACAAAAACAAAATAAAGACAATTTGTTTATATTTGCCTAACCTAGCTCTCATCAAAATAAGATCTAAGTTCAGGAGGCCATTAGCTCCACCCAGATGCCCTTCCTCTTCCTATTTCAGTGCAAATTTGCCTAATTCCACAGTCTGCTGATACCTGCTTCCTCTTGCCTGAGGCCTTTCTTGGTCCTAACCCTGTGTTTCATCTGCACAGAAGAGGATCTGAGGTGCTGAGGAATTAATTCCCAGCATCCCTCTGAAGGAGTTGATGCGCTAGTACACTCTGGTTCCCTCACACTCTGAGGTATGTGTGTGACTGGCTTCCCGAGTTGCCCCAATGACTAAGGTCCCCTCAGTAGAATCTGTCACTATAATGTACCCTTTCAACTGGAATTCCTTACTTATTCTTTTCTGATGTTTGCTTTACCTCCCAATAAACTATTTGTACTCTGTGTCTGCTTGGGGTAAAGGGTGAACAGTAGTAAAGATACATACTTGGAAATGAGTGGGCTACAGTATCTTAATGGCGATTTCTAGCTCCACTCTTCAATGACCCAAATGCATTAAGAGATTATTTCTGACAGTTTCAGGACACAAGCCTTCAGTACCTGGCTTCTATGAGTCATTTAATATATGTTTCCTGAATAGATTAATTTCTTCCTAGGGCAATACCATAGGTCTTTGCAAAGGAAAAGGCATGAATTCAAAACACCCCACTTTTAACATTCCTATCCTTTAGGAGACTTAATGCACATGCGGGCTATGTCCTGGCTATTTCTCCACTACCTCCTTGAGAGGCCTCTGACTCTCCTGGGACACTTATCTCCAGCGATGCAGATGCAATGTTTTAATGCCCTTTTCTTCCTTGTCTACACTTTCGGTTTTTGAATATAAGAAGTTCTTATTTTCTTTATGTCCTTGCAATTCACCTTCAAGAAATGGAGGAAAGGAACTCATCAATGCCACTTAGTAAGAGCCTACTATGTGCTCTATGGTACTGTGTGTGTATGTATATGTATATACATATATACTGTGTGTGTATACATATATGTATACACAGTATGTGTATGCATACATATACTGTGTGTATGTATATATACATACACACACATATATCTATACACACACTAATACACACACACACACACACATATATATATATATATCGTGATTTCATTAAGTCTTCAAAGAAGCCATGATATTGTTA